GTGTGTGTGTGTGTGTGTGTGTGTGTGTGTGTGTGTGTGTGTGTGTGCTTGAGCTGCAGATAAAGCCTAAATTGAGCTGTTTTGATTGTTCACTGAAAGTGCCCGGAGCACATGGCCTCTTAGCCAAGGCGGACACACACACACACACACACACGCGCACACTCCCTCACGACCAGCCCTGCTTCAGTCACTTTGCACTCGTTCTTCGCTGCTGTTTTTTATTAAGTGGTCTTGGCAACGGCAGTGAGAATTCTTGTAATTACGAGTCAGAATAACTTTCTGTCTGTGGAAGGAAGCGGGCTATTTCTTAACACAGATTTCTGACTCGGCATGGCTTAATGTTTTTTCTACCGCTAATCAAGATGAACACATCCTTTCGGAGGGGGGAGATTAGCTCAAGGGAAAGTCGTCTTGTGCAAGGTGACTTAACAAATACACATTTTAGATTCATTTACAGTTTCTGAGCTCTCAATGTAAGCTAAGTAGGCAAGAAATTTCACAGGTGTAATGTAGTCGAGTATATTCTGAACAGCAGACCTCTGAAGGCTCACTTGTTTGTGCGTATTTTTCTTTTCATTGTGTTCTTAAGTTCTAACGGTCTGGTCTACGTAGTGTAGGTTTTTATATCAAGTGCTCTTTAATAAATTAATTTTCCACTGTAAAGTCAGCGTGTGGGTAAGAAATGGTATGTTTTTTAAAATAGAGATTCCCAGGACAACCACACTCATGACACTGTGCTACCATCAAAGAGGGTTGGGCAAATCTGATTAAAAGAGAACAGAGGGTTTTGTACATATTGATGATATCATCATGATGACAATACTATTAATTGCTTTAATTTGAAGAAGACACAGAGAGATAACTTTTTAAAATATGAAAGGAACGAAAACACAACATTGGCAGGAGACTCCCTTAACATTCCCCGTACTCGCATATTATTTCTTTTTAGATAGATTGATATAATATATGCACGTCAGGCATCATAGTCATCCATAACATTTGATCTGAAAAGAGCAAAAACCTGAACCACAGTGCGATGATACCACACAATTATGCAAATGAACACTTAAAAATAAACTGCACACAAATGATTGGAGGAATCACTTCAGGAGAGTGAGCGGAGTGTATGTGTACACAGGGATGTTGGCAAGCGAAAACAAATGCACAGGACATTGTCCTGTGGCTACACACACACACATGGAAGTACACACACTCTAGGGATGATGTCTGGCTAGGTGGATAAAGTAGTGCTATTGTAATTCGATAGATGGCTTTCCCTAAGATAATCTGCCTTAAACAGATGATCATTTTGGGAGTAGATTTGATTGATGTGGGACAGGCAGAGAAAGAACCAGCCAGGGAGATGGAGAATAGTGCACATTTTAATTCTCTGCGTTTGAGTGTGTGAGGAAGGCAGGGATGGGAGATTCAAAGGGTGCATATGGGGAGGAAGATTTTTGTGCCAGCTGGACTCTGCACGGCGCTCAGACTGGGATTTCTCTGTCTCAGTCGCTCTTCGTCCTGACATTGTTCATTTGATTAATCAGACTTTTCTCCCTTTCCACTTACTTCGAGTGATTTATTTTGCGCCGTTTCTGACGGTGTGGACCTTTGCGCCCATTCATCCGCGACATTTCAAAAGCTTCGTTCTTATTCCTTTTTTATTGCTGCAGTACTGGCACACTTTACCTCTTTATGATCCGTTCAACAGTCTAAATCGTGATGTCTGAGTCAAGGTTAGCTTTGCTTCTGCACCAATGTGGTGGAAATATTTAGGCTCAGATAAGACAGCAGCGTCAGTTTAGTGGCTGCTAGAAACAGACACCGCTACTACCAAAAAAATAAAAAACACTCATTTTCTGATTTTAACCTGGGCGGCACGGGGGTGTGGCGGTTAGCACTGTCGCCTCACAGCAGGAGGGTTCCCGGTTCGAATCCCTGGAGCCCTCCTGTGTGGACTTTACATGTTCTCCCTGGTGTCTGCGTGGGTTATCTCTGAGTTCTCCTGCCAAAAGCATGCATGCCAGGTTAATTTATTGTTCTAATTCGCCGGTGGGAGTGAATGTGAGTGTGTGGTAGTTATTTTCTGTGTGGTGCTATGATGGAGTGGTGGCCTGTCCAGGCACCTCGCCTCTCACCCCCTGTGAGCGGGAACAGACTCCATCCCACCTGCGACACGAGGAATAAGTGGCATAGCAAATGGATGGATTAAAAACTTTAATCTTTAATGGTTTGATGGAAATGGTGAGGTTTTTTTTTCTCTGGCTGAATTGATCTCTTGAATATTTCCCTGATAGCCACCTTTCCCTCTCAAGGGTCCGCTCATCATTCCTCTGCAACGTCCATCCAACCTTCACCTTTTCATAAACCCTGATATTTACAATCCTCCTTTCTCCCTAAACAAGAGGTTGTGCTCTTTTCGCCTCGTTCCTCTATGTTTTCTCCCTGTCTTGCTGTCAGGCCCTCTCTTCCTCTCACTTCTTGTCCTCCTCTCCCAACATAATCCTCAGCTCAAGCCCCTAGGTTGCCGTAGAAACATCAATAACATTCCTGCTTGACAACATCTTAGTGCGTTAAAGTGGTCGTAGGGAGACTCAGCCCAGCAGAGCTGTAAGCACAGTAACCCTTCCACACTGTTACCCGTGAGAAGGATTCCTGTGGAAATGGAGACCAGCGTTCAGTGGAAAAGATAAAAATGAAGGAAAAACATGAGGCGATTACTGAATTATGAGGACTGGATGTACAACCACTCATTAAATTTGATACTATAGAACTTTTGGTTAAATTTTGGGTTTGAGGCTCGGGGCATGGCTTCTAAAGGAACACGTCAATCTGAAAATGGACTCAATCGACTGGTACAACTCAACCCCCCCCAATTGGTCACTGAAAAAATCTAGTTTTTTATTTTACTTTTTACTTGACAAAAGATTTACTTGATGAACTGACAACAAAACGCAAAAAAAAGCTGGTATTTGTGTTTGGTTTTCACAGCAGCGATTATATTTGATTGTCATAGGCATTTATCTGCTATGACTATTTAGTAACAAATGGATATTTCTTCATTTTCTTATTTTTCTCTGTCAGCAGAGTCTTGCCGCTGCTTTGCTGTGGAGAATGGCAGTAAATTCCCCGCCAGGTGCTGCGTGACCTCTGACCTGCCCGTGTTTCGGGGGAGGTGTTGAGTCAGCAAATAACAATTAGTTTTACCCATTGATCAATAAAAAGAGGACCTTTTTGTTGTTGCACAATGGTGAAAAATTTATATTAAAGGTGAGAATGCTCAATTTACGGTGTAATGGCACAAAGTGAAACAGCAACCACTCACGTTAAGGAAAGCAGTTGTTATTTTGCAATGTGAGCTGAACAGTAAGTCTTGAATACATCTACCTTTAAGAAAATACTTTAAGAAAATACTTAGAAAATACTTATGGACTCATGCAAAGTCAATGAAGGAGATACAAATGGTGATTAAACAGGTTTGATAACCATAATTTGTCCAAATATTTTTAATAGTGTCTTTTCAGCTCTATGAAAGGTGGAAAACAATGTGGAAATGGGACATTTTTGTGGTT